TTATTCGACCTTTCACCGACGAAATGGCATGTCGGATTTCGGAAAGGAGAACCGGTGGTACAACATATCCATCCTCCTTTATTTCATTTGACGGAAGGTGGACGTGGCTATCGAAGAAATCCGAGTAGTATTCGTGAATGATTTTCTCCATTGCCTTTCTGGACGCTGTAACTGTTTCGTCTGGGCATCGGAGTGCAATCACCTTGTTCTTGTAGTTGGGGAAGCTTCGGTGGGCTTTGCAAATGCTTTTCCCAGCCTCTGCAGCTTCGGCCATTACTGCTGCTCTTCTCTCTCCAAGATCTTCTTTTATCGCCTCTCTGCATTGTTTTGCAAGTTCAGACGTTAGTTCGCGGTTGCCTGCAGCTCGTGCGATTCCATGCCTGCGTATCAGCTGGAGTGTTTCTGGAGACAAACGTCTCTTGGTGACATATTGAGAAAAAGTGACTATGTTTCATGGAGCTTTTGGTTATTTAGAAATGCCAGCACCACTACAGTACTGTCCGATTTTGTACGGCAACGTTTGAAAGATTAGGTATTGGAAGAAATTTCGCAGCAGCAAAAAGTTCCCGCTAAACTGAGTCAGTTAGAACGAAATCAGTTGAGGCATGAAACTAGAGCTCTCTTCATCCATCTATTTAAAGCAAAATGGTCAAGAACGAATCTTCTGCTGAATTTATGGAAAAAGTGGTAACGAGACTTGATAGACTGGCATGAAGAAAAGTGTTCTCTCACTAAACTGACATATAGGACGCTTAGACTTCTTCTCCGTCATAGTTTGATGTCGGCGCGTAAACGACGAAGATTGTCAAAGCCGGAATTGATCCACGTCTTCTTAATCGTAAAAGTCCGATTCGGGTTCTAAGTTGTTAGAATGAATCGATGTTCATGGAAAAACTCGTGTTGACGAGAACTTCAACGCGGCCGACTCGTCTACTGTCGCATATTCCGATGAACAGTTCTTCTCCGCTGTCTTAGACGGCGTTGAATGGGTGGCGGTGTCTCGTCTCGGCCAGGCCGATAACGTCGTACCTTATCCTTCTTGCTTGCATGAGCAAGTCTTCTATCGAGGACTCCGATGTAAGTGAACGTGCATTGTAGGTAGAGATTGTCACCATAGTTCTTTGAAATCCAGGCAGCTTCCATTGGCCCTGAGATATTAGGAGCCTCTCCGTACTCGTCCTACCCAAAGCTGCGAAATTGGGGGCTCTTTCGGAGTTAGGGGAATGAGGCCCGTTTTTTTTTACTGTGTTTAGCATTTTTGATACCCACGTATAGCTTGCTGGACTCTGAACGTGGGGACTGGGTATGCTCATAGATAGCTCGCCACGCTCTCCCAGAGTGGACATGTAGCTTATTTGTTGGAGACGCCTCCTAACTGCCTCCCATATACTTCCCAGTCACTTGATTGCAGGCTTTTGACCGAATTGACTCGTAGAATACAATCCGCATAAGCAAGAACGCACCCACACACGCATGCATGAATACGCCTAGCAAACACAGAAAGTATGTGCGAAATCGGCGCAGCTGAAACAGAAAAATGCCCTAGATCCACCTGCGTGTAAGGAAGGCAAAGGTCGCTTTTGGTCCGCGATTAACCTCCTATCCGCCACCTGGGGATGCGCCACGTAGCCTCGCGACTAACCGGCTATCAGGATCCCTCATATAAGGGTGATCCGTGGTCAGGGCGTAGGGCCCGTTTATCTCACCGTTTGTCTGTTGATATCCACGAATGGCTTGCCCACCTCTTAGCGTGTCGACAGAACAAACTCACTGCTGTCTTACAAATCCTACAGATATGCGGCTTTGTTTTTGGAGGCATTAGCAAGGAAAAGCAAGGTAACAGTATCTTTGATGCAGTGAGTAACACGTGAGCAACCGGAACGGGCGATAGAACATTCAAATATGGCCTGTGGTTCTAGTTTTGCAAATATCTTAACATGATTGCGGTTGTATTTCATATAATACCCTGCTATGAAAAAAAGTAACAGATAGTGAACAAAGAACTAAATATTGTTATTTATCTCTATTTTGCATCACCTTTATCACATCTACTGTGCGTATTCCACCGCTTCTCGCATTAGATTCACTTTCCTCGAGTTCACCGTCCACAAAGATCTTCGAACATTTCCTATGTTGTTTCGGCTGCTATCTGAGGATTTCGTCTTCTTCATGAATGTGGTAGAATGCTGGTTGAGTCGATTCTTCTTGCAATGTTTGAGATATCTGAGCTAATACATTGCCACGCGGATTGGAGGAGAGCGTTCGGGAGGGGTCTTACTAGGACATTGCTTCCTGATGGACTTTATCACTAACTACTGTGTTGTCCTCACAAAAACGACAACGGCACATAACTGTGAAAAACATATTTTGGACGACAAAAATATGATGGGATCGCTTTCATTTGATGGTGAGGGACAATACACCGTATGCACAGGTTACCATTCATACTCCGCATTGCAGAAAACGAGGCGTTGTCCTATGAAGATTTTACTCAAAAGTAATCCGAAATCCTATTCATGTTAACGCTGTACGGGACAAATAAGAATAAGCTCCCATTTTCCATGATTCTCACTCGTCATCTGGTTGGTTTTTCTTGTTGACATCGATTATTAGCAAAGGGATAAATGTCGGGATCCAACTAATCTCATTCTTTAGGGGGTGGTTCGAGGAACATTTGTATTCCTGCTCGGCTTGCAAATATTGTGGACGTTCTGGGCAACAGTCTGTATTTACAGTGTGTTCATCATAGCCGGTAGGTGTTTACGGTATAGTCAGTCACCAGGTTGCTTGCATTCATATTTTTTAACTTCTTTGCGAGTTATTATTTCCCTAAATGAGGTGATTGTTGACTGCGACCTTCGATTTGCAGGAGGAAATCATCTTTGCGAACGAATTTACGAAGCCACGAGATTGTGCTGCACGTTTATTCGCGGCCGTGATGAAAACTAAACCTGCGCTGCTGACCAAATAGACCGTACCATTACATATTTATTTATGTGACCTGACGTTGCCTCGCTTCTCTGATCTCTTAAGGTCTTTCGAAGTTGTTTAGATTCCTGTTTGAGGAATTTTTCTGTTGCAAAAATGTCGTCAAACGCCGATGGAAACAATTCTTCTTCGGACCTTGGGCTAGTGTTGCTAGAACATCGCAGAACATGTCAGGCAAGAACGCACACACACATGCATGCATGAATACGCCTAGCAAATACAGAAAGTATGTGCCAAATCAGTGCAGCAGAAACAGGGAATCCATCCCCTGGATCCACCTGTGTCTCAGAAAAGCCAAGGTTGCTTTTGACCCGCGATTAAGCCCTATGCGCTACCTGGGGACGCGCCACTTAGCCTCGCGACTAACCGGCTCGAGATCTCTCATAGGAGTGAGGTCCGTGGGTAATTGCGGTAGAAGCTTTAATAGGAAAAATTGAGTAACAGACGAAAATAAATAATAAAGAAGAAGTGGACGTGAGTGCAAGTGAAAAACCGATCTGTGCCTTCAATTGCTAAGATTTTTCCTAAAAATAAGCAAGAAACCTTGTTTGCGTAGATCTATTTCATCTTATTACCAATCGACGAAGCCTGTTGCTAACGATGCCTTTGTGTATGTTTCGCCGGTAATAGTTTTGTCAAAAAGCCAGAAAGCTTCTCATCAGCAAGCAGTGGAGAACTGAGAGGAGCGCCATCCACGTTCTACTCTCTTTACTTTTTTTCCTTTACTATACTGTTTAAGTCGCGCAGAAGTGAACTAAGTTGAATCACTGACACCTTTTATTTAGACAAAAAAGGTTGGCGCTTGTTGAATTCACGCCTCCGGTTACAAGCAGTACCGATTTTTCCACAAATTCGATTAAATACTTGAAATAACCAACGAACGAGCCTCACGGCGACCATTACGATGTCTTCATTTACATTTAAACCTTCTATATATTGTGAATTGAAGAAAACTCCCGGATAAGAAATGATAGAAAGTCGAAAATTTATTTCATTTTCACCTCTTCCTTTATCGTCTACGTTCGATAGCTCATGTGCCTGTCCCTGTTAGCAAATCTAATGCTCACTTTCCTCGTTAGTGTATCTGCTCACTACGACAAACTAGACGTTTTCTAAACGTTTGACTTCTGAGTTATTTTATAGCAAGAGTTACGTGTGCAGAAGAAGATCTTATTATCTTTCAAGGTATCCAAATTGATAAATCATAAAACGACTAGGTAGTAGAAGATCAGAACTATAGCGAAATCCAAGAAACGCGTGTGGAGCAGTGGTCGGAGGCGCCCTGCAACACACACGCGGAATCGATCCCAGCGCCCATGGCCTACCAAGCCTTCCATACCTCTGGAGTCGGCAAATTGGTACCAGACTTGCCTACGAGAACAATAGAACTGGTTCAATACATCGGTTGGTCATCGCGAGTTATTGTAAACGCCAGATATACATTCAATCACCTCCAATGATGTTTAATGAAGTCCAATGCATGGCGCATTCATCAGGGATTGATCAACGCAGAAAGCTTTATCTTTTTATAGTGAAATCTTAAATTTATTCCATGTTTTGTAGTGTTTTGTAGGAAAACTATAAAATTTTATTAAGTGGACCATTCCTTGAGTCACATGTTTATCACTCAGAACAGTTTTTTCTTTTGATTAACTGAGATTTTGCTTTGTTGACTGTGAGAGACTATACCTTAGTGTTAGCATACTGACATTTTTCGAAAATAATCACAGTATCTTGCACTTCTATAACATCGCCTTCTCTCGTCGATGCTGATGATTGTCTTACCGTCGTTGGTAGGTTGGAGATAGAAGTTGAACTGCAAGCACAGCGAGGCGCTAGACTGCATGTGGAAGGTGGGCGAGAAAAGCGACGCAAAGCGATAACTGGACGACGACTCTGAGTCGATGAGCAAGTAGCGATGGCCTGGGAAGAAAGTGCGATCAGTCAACAAGCGAAGTGGAAAGGTCTAATGTTACTACCGATGTAAAATTAACAAATAATATCTGCATTTCTTAACTAATTTTCTGGCTAAGAAACATCGGCAAACTCATACCGCTCTCAGCTGCCGGTGTTCCGCCGGCGCGGATCCAGTGGACACCATCGCCGTTTCGCATACCGCACAAGTCCTTCTCGAAATCACAATCCCAATCGTATTGTGATATCTTTTGTGAAGGATCTGAACAAGTTCAGCCCTATGTCATCTTGGTTATTTGGTAATTCACTTCATTTTTGAAGCGGTTGCTCTCTTAAGATGGTCATCTCCCGGTTTCATGCGGTAGATGTTGAAGATGTTTGAGACAGTACACTCAACTTTATTATTGAAGATCTACTATTGTGTGTAACGAGATGGGAAAAAGTCATCGTTGGACTAGAAGCGATAATTTAACCATTATTTAATGTAATATAAATAATAAATAAAATATAAATATAAATATAACTACTATAATGCTACCAGTGAAGATGTGACAACCAGGTATCCGAGTAAATAACCATAACAACCTCGTTTCTTAACCTTTTTATTTACTGCCTATTTTTTGACGGCAGAGCATTTTTGCGAAATATAACTACTATAACGCTGAGATATTTGCAAAACTTCGGACCGCAGGTGTCTGCGGTGGGGAACGAATGCGCTATTGTCCTTTCCGAGGAGTAACGCGTTCATCACCACACCATGCGGGTCCTTCGTTTCGCCAGTCTCTCAGCTAGTTCTATCGATCTTTTGCCATCAGCAATCACCCGTCAACGGGATTGAGCTGGGAGGCCCAAATCGGCATTGAACCCAGTTAAGCTGAGGCTATAGTTATAATCACAATCTTAGCCTTTTTATTTACTGCCTATTCTTTTTAGCGCAAGGTATTAACGCATTTATAGTACATCTCAGCATTATAGTAGTTATATTTCGCAAAATACCCTGCCGTTAAAAAGAATAGGCAGTAAATAAAAAGGCTAAGATAAATATAAATATTTAATATAAGATAAATTAAGAGGTCTCATTTATACCATCTGGTTCATCTTGAACCAAATACATAGACGCACGCTAAATGCTAAGTCGCACGATTTACTCAAATGGACTACTAAGTGGTATAAACTAGACGTAGAAGGTGGACACTCCATTCTTTTCCGATACCATTTTCATCTTACCTATCGTCTTTCGATATGTTCGTTGCTTTTTTAAATTGCTGTAAAAAGGTGCACATACTAGCAACGATAACTGCACAGCTCTGCCTGTATACCTGGCGGTGTGAGCACGACGTCTCTGATGCTCCAAGGACTCTCGCGTCCATCGTCACCAACCACCTTCACCGCTACCTCGTACTCCTTGCCGGGTAGAAGACCGGATAGTAGCACATGTCGTGAATTTGAACGCATCTTCGACAATTCTTCCGATTGATAAATACCGTATCTTAAAAAGAACCAGTTGTTAAACTCTCAAAATAAATGGAACGTTTGCGAGTTTAGTGAAAGAACACTTTCTTCAAGCCAGTCTATCAAGACTCGTTACCACTTTTTCCATAAATTCAGCAGAAGATTCGTTCTTGACCATTTTGCTTTAAATAGATGGATGAAGAGAGCTCTAGTTTCATGCCTCAACTGATTTCGTTCTAACTGACTCAGTTTAGCGGGAACTTTTTGCTGCTGCGAAATTTCTTCCAATACCTAATCTTTCAAACGTTGCCGTACAAAATCGGACAGTACTGTAGTGGCGCTGGCATTTCTAAATAACCAAAAGCTCCATGAAACATAGTCACTTTTTTAACTCTTTTATTTACTGCCGTTTTCTTCTTAATGGCAGGGTATGTTGTGAAATATAACTCGTCACTTTTCCTCAATATGCGAACAAAATTGCAAAAAGACACCCACGACCGGCTTTCTATTAACCTCGGCATTGATCAAGTAATTCTTCGTATTTTTGTTGAGCAAACGCGAGGTGTTATTGTTCTTTGTTCACGAATAAACTGACGTTTTGGCGGATTTCGCCTTCCTCAGAGCCTGGAAAGGTCAAGTTGATAGCAATCTACTAGGCTAGACGCCTCCATAACCAAACAAAGAAACCCTAAACAAGGATTTCAATCACGTTGAACACAGTTTTGCACACTCACCGCTTTCTATGGGGTTTCCACTAAGTATGTCACGTAGAGACCAACCGCACGGAAATCACATGGAAGTATAATGTGCCCCTCCCATCAGAATAGCGGTCTTATATACTGCCCCATATCACGCGTGATAATGAGGCATTCTTCCCTGCGGTTCATTTTCGGATTTCTGGAATTAATCCAGAGTGCCTCGAGAGTTTTTCGCGCCTCTGTTCTTGATTCGCGTGCAAGCATCGTGACACATACTTCAAAGTCGTCCCCGTTATGTCTTTGGGTCCTATGCGTGCCTAGCGGTGTATTTGGTGTATGTTTGCCGGCTAGGTGCTCTTTTATGCGGACCGGAACTTGGCAGGGCAAATAGCCATGGCTACGAAATTGTAGCTCAGGATAGGTGTAGAGGAAATCGTAGGCCTCCAAACGATAACTCTAGTGATAGAAGGGTCCCGTTTATCCTACCCTTCATCTCAAATGATATAAGTACAGCTATAAAACGCTGCTTGAGAAGGGCGGGCTTAGAGAAGTCGGTAAGCGTAGTTGAAATACCACCGAGTAAGCTTAAGCGCCAGCTAGTTCGTAACCGCCTATATGACCGTGTAAGTAACTATGTAACTATGTGTAACTCAAAATTGCATAATTTGCTCCAGTGGTAGAGACGGAGATTGCATGAGCTCGGGTGTAATTTATCTGATCTCCTGTAAGACGTGCGGTGACGAATACATTGGCGAAACGGGTAGACCCCTCTGTGTCTGCATAAAAGAGCACCTAGCCGGCAAAAATAGACGAAATACCCCGCTAGGCACGCATAGGACCCAGAGACATAACGGGGACGACTTCGAAGTATGTGTCACGATCCTCGCACGCGAATCAAGAACACAGGCGCGAAAAACTCTCGAGGCACTCTGGATTAATTCCAGAAATCCGAAAATGAACCGCAGGGAAGAATGCCTCATTATCACGCGTGATATGGGGCAGTATATAAGACTGCTATTCTGATGGGAGGGGCACATTATACTTCCATGTGATTTCTGTGCGGTTGGTCTCTACGTGACATACTTAGTGGAAACCCCATAGAAAGCGGTGAGTGTGCAAAACTGTGTTCAACGTGATTGAAATCTTGGTTTGGGGTTTCCTTGTTTGGTTATGGAGGCGTCTAGCCTAGTAGATTGCTATCAACTTGACCTTTCCAGGCTCTGAGGAAGGCGAAATCCGCCGAAACGTCAGCTTATTCGTGAATAAAGAATGATAACACCTTGCGTTTGCTCAACAAAAATACGAAGAATTACTTGATCAATTGCAAAAAGACTTCTTTCATTTCCTTTCAAAACCTCGATGAAAGTGGAACGCATCACCTACAGGAAAAATCGATTCTCTTTCACCAGCATAGTACCTCTGTGCGATCCTGATAGCGCTCTTTGTTGTTAAGGGATTCCAACATGGCGCCACTGTTTGACTTAGATTACAGGGAATCTTGTTCATAGGTTATCAACACTTCTTCGTGCTATTCCTCCGTGTACGGTAAACTTTCTACAAAGCGTAGAGCATTCATTCACCCTTGATCTCTTCCTGAAGGATGCGCCATGCATTCGACTCCATTAAGCATATCAGAGGTGATTGAATGAATTATTGGTCTTAATAATGACTTACCGGCACACCGATGTAGCAAGAAGGCCCTGCCGGATAAGTCTCGCACCAGCACCCCAAAAGGATGGGCGGCTTGGCTTATCCGGTGAGCGAGATCGAGGCAAAAACCAAGTGCGGATTATCGAGATACTTCTTATCTATTGATATTGTAAGTAGACCAAAATATTTAATTCGAATGAAAGTCGATTTAAGAAGTTGAGCACTCTATTGCAGGCGCGGTTTCGTTTGCTTACCTACATCTGCTTAAACTTCATTGTAATCGAAATATATCATATATTAATAGAGGAAATAAAACTGAAATAAGCTATTGCTTCAATGAATGAACAAGCATTTAAAACAATTTCTTTAAAATAAAAACGCCAACTGTATGAGATAGTGTCTTTGAGTTCCGTCGATTTCGTTTTCGATGTCCTGTTCCGGATTCGGATCCTCCCACGATACGGCAACCGTTCCTGGGCTGAGTGAATTCGCTCGAACTGCGATCGGTGGCCAGAGCGACAACGATGTCGACCCTGAAATGAGAACCATAACGTATGAAGAAGATAACTCGGAAAACCGACTTTCTATGAACCTCGGCATAGATAGTTGATATATTTATTTATATGATCTTATAAACTGATCTTTTCAAGCTGATGCGAGGTTGGTACAGGCCTTCGTTGTCGTTGTCGTTGTTGTTGATGTTGTTGGTCGATGGCTGACGTCTTGGCGACTTCGCCTTCCTCAGAACCGTGATGTTACGTGTGGGACTAGCCATCGGCCAACAACATCAACAACAACGACAACGACACCGAAGGCCTGTACCAACCTCGCATCAGCTTAAAAAGATCAGTTTATAAGATCATATAAATAAATATGAAGGAGATAATTCCCATTTCCCAAGATCTACTTTCTATTAACATCGGCATTGGATTATAAATGTGGCGTTTTCTTGTTCAGCTATCGCGAATTTATAGAGTCATCAACCATATGCGACTATAACCAGCTGTTCTAATCTTCCTCAGTGGAAGTCACGTTAAAAGCGACTCTGAAGAAGGGGATACTGCCGAAACGACAGCTACTGTTGTATTGTGCGTTTTTGTATGAAAGTAAAATTGTGCTGTACAACAACCTCGCGATTGCTGAAAAAGAAAATTATAATTCCCATTCTTTATATCTTATCAAATGTAACGGTTCCGTATTAAACTGACTTTCAGTCAACATTGGCGTGAATGACAAACAACTTTCTTTGGATTGCTTAGCCTACACGAGGTCGTCTTCGTCTTGCTCAGAGCCGATGGTTTGAGTCTGAAGAAAACTAAGACGTCGTAACGTCGGCCCAGTAAAAGATGTATAACAACTTCGTGTAAGCTGAATAATCCAAGAAAGTTTACATAATGATTATTCCTCGTCATATAATGACAAAGAAAGGAATGAAAGCATCCAAAGCATTTCGAAGCTTCAACAATAAATCTATGAACTGCTAGGGACACTGAGGTATGTGCAAAACTTGGGACATCCGTTGGGCTTTTCACCCACAATTACCTTTTGCGTGGACTTACGTGTTAGCCATTACACCACCAGGATCCTTGCTTTGCCTTTCTCTCAACCATAACCCTAGCCGTGAAATCACCAATCAGAGGAATGATATAGGAAGCATAAATCGACATCGAACTCAGTTATGCTGAAGTTGCAGTCGAAGCCACAATGTTTTAACATTCAGTAAATACATACCATACACACATATTATACTATACCTACTATAGACAATACGTGCTCACATCACAGCCTGTAGTGAAAAATGAATAGACGGGAAAGAACAGTTACAATACTGTGATTTTGACTGCAACTTCAGCTAAACTGGCCTCAAGGCTCCGCAAATCATTCTGTTTACTGTTGATTGGTGATAGCACTCCTAGAGTAAAAAAAATAGCTCAGAGAAAGACAAAGCAGGGATCTCGGTTGGTGTTGTGGATAGCAAGTGAGCTCTCGGTAAGGGTAATCACAGGTTCAAAGCCTGAGTTTTCAAGGTTTTCACATTTCTCAGCATCGTATTTCACTTCGTACTCTGTCGTGAAAAAAGAATAGGCAAAAGAAAGTTAGTAAGCGCATTATGTAGGTAACAAAGACGGCGAGATTCTATATCATCGAGTATTGCCGTATTTATGACAGCCAACCATTAATTCATCAAAAATATGCTATATCAGGATTGCTCGAATCGATCGCACAAATGGTAGGATTGTAAACAAAGGAAACACAATGGCAAGAACGTTGCGTTTGAATTTCAGCGCATCCTAGCCAATACTTGGTTATAAAGTCATCTACCATCATTTTGTAGTGTCCTAGCCGATAGCAGAACTGGTTCGCCGTCTTCACCATCTGCTTCGTTGTAGGCGCTAACAGAAAAAACGTATTCCGTGTCGGGTTCTGAAATAATAAACAAGATTGGAGATTAAAGTAAATGTGAAGAACGTGATGAGACTACAGATACTTTCGCAGTGGCGTCATTTTAACCAGTCTAAACATTTCAACAGCCAAGGTGTGATGGCGTGATGGTCTTTTAACGCTGAAACGATGAAATATCCGTTGGAGTGCAACAACTTCCTAAAGGAACGAACTCCACGTGCTTTGGCATATGAAGTGAATCATTTTCCATAGAAAATTCACGTTCTACGGTCTTTGTTACCAACTATCTAACTGCATGATGAAATAGCAGCATCGAAGAAACGGAAGAGAAATAGAAGGAAGATTTGACGGAAAAAGTTCATCGTTTTAATGCTTTCAGACTGGTCTTGTATAAATCCCCTGATGGAGTGACAATTTCGTTCTCTCGGGACACGGGGTCGACCCAAAGGACACGTGCGCATTGCAAAGCACTTCATTCCACTGCTCTAACCGACGGCCAGAGTGAAAACTCTGGAAAAGTTATTATACCACTTTTTTAAAAGCACACCTTTAGCATGAGCTTATAGGTTGTCAACCATAGCGAAAAGTGAAGAGAGAAAGAAAGGAAGGAAAGGGATAGAAAGGAAGGGCGAAAGAGAGGAAGAAGGAGGGAAAGAAAGAAACAAAGGAACAACGGAACAGAAAACGATGAAGGAAGAAAGAAAGAGGTGTGGGAAGAAAAGAAAAGGAAGGGAAAGAAAGGAAGCAACAAAAAGAGACGGAGACAAAGGAACAAAGAAGCGGAGGAACAAAAAAGAAAACAGAGAAAGAGAGAGGAGATAGGAAGAGAAGAAAAAGAGGAGAAAAAAGAAACAAAGAGAGAAAAAAGAAGGAAAAAGAGGAAGAAGAAGGGCATTAGGGAACGGTCTTTTAAAATATATTTGCACAGGGTTTTCTTGAAGAAAATAAGAAAATGATTTATGCGAATGCGATCTAGATGGATGACCAGTATGATAAAGGAGAAAAATCTTCGAAACTCAAAATGGTTGAAATTAATTGACTGATGCTCGATGTTACACAGTTAACGGCGCAGTATTCCATTCATTGTCCGCTCTGCATTTATTAAGTTATTTGTAGCTGTCGTCGACAGAAAGGTGCTAACCATGCTTTAGCAGGCCGTCGTTTTCAGGAAGATAGGTGTTCGTGATCAACACATTATGAACTTCTCGCAATACTGAATGACATATGAATTTTCGTTTGTAAGAACAAAACTTCTCCTATCATCTTTTTTCGCTTTTTTTCCTGATTATAAAAGCTCTAAAGCTTTCGGAGTTGATCAATCCCTGTAGGTTGCGCCATGCATTCGACTCCATTAAGCATCGCTTAGAGGTGATTGAGTGCATATCTGGCTTTTCTAATGGCTCGATGTGGCCTACCGAGGTATCGAGCCAGTGCCACTTTCCTCCCAGACAAGTCTGGTACCAATTTTGCGATCCCGGAGGGATGGAAGGCTTGGTGGGCCATTGGCGCAAAAATCGATTCCACGTGTCTGTTGCAGGACGGCTATCACCACTGCGCCACGCGCTCCCGACTATATGAGTCGGAAATGATATGCAGATAATGTGAACACCAAAATAACAGCTTGTCATTTTAAAAATAAGTGGATGTTCACATAAAAACCTTAAAAAGAAGAAAATTGAAGCAGCTGAAACAAACGGCGTCAGCTCTTCAGCCCCACGATGCTTACTACTCAGTGAATTGCTTAGCACTCATCTACATGTGTTGGGTGATTTTACATATCTGTCATATTCACTTCCACAACTCTATGGAAAATATGAGAAAAAACCTTTGATTGTGGCGCTGCTCAGAAAATCGGCTAAGCCGTTTGAATACATTCGCCATACTTGTCGTTTCTGTGACCACTAATACACATCAAAAACCCATTAACATCCTTTTCTCAGAACTTCGTTTCGAATTTCGCACGAGGTGCCGCCTCACCTAGTCGATTCAGCGTGAAGGAGTTCGTGTTGGGACCCTCTATGACTATTCGTCGCGACGGTGTTGCGACTCCATACGACACAGTATAGCCGCGTACCTGAACATCTTGGAATCTTACATTAGGAGGAAAAAACAAGCAGCGTTCTAAATTGTCTTGTGTTCCTTTTGTTTAAAATACTAATTTAACATTCTTACCCCAATACAATATTTTTTAAAGAAAACAATTGTAGATTTGACAAAGGTTTGCTGCTCAGAAAAAAATGTTGTAGCCAACAAAGAAGTGATCAATGCATGTGTGGTAGGTTGAGTGGACCGCATATCGACTTCACTGCATATTTCAAATTGTTTAGAGCAGTCTATTTAATATAGATGTCGTACCATACATGGTTCGCGAAAAGCTATTCTCTAGACTTCATAATTTGCAAAACACATTTTTCGGACGAGTTTTTCAAAGCACACCATGCTTGGGACAAAAATTGATTTATTGTCAAGAGACCATCACACAAAAACGCAGGGGCGTAGGTGTTCAAGGTGCGTCATCTTCGCTAAATCGCCATCGATAAATTGCTTTGATGAAACGCACATTCTAGAGCATTATTAAAAGCCGTATTTTAGCATCATTCGGCAGCGCATATTATGCAGATCTCTGAACTCCCTTCATTCGCTTCGTTTCCTCGACACCATCATCCACAAAAGTCTTTAGATTTGAGTTTGGAGTCGGCTGCTACTAGACGACGCCGTCTTTTCCACGAATGCCGTTGAATACTGGCTGGGAACGTTCTCACTAAAATCCTGAGATGGTGTTCCAGAGCATTCCCAAGCTTCACTACACGCTAGTCCTTGTGGAATGGAGGCAGACGCTCTCCCCAGGCAACTATGGTTCAATTTCCAGACGCCAGCTGGATTATTGAGCATCTACCATTGGCTTTACCAAACCACAATATTACATCACTCATTCGAATTGCGGTAAGTGCGAACAAAAACCAAAAATGTCACAAAGATGAACGGTGAATGATATGCCTGGTATCCGACTAGCGGTGTAGCTCATTTTTCAAATTGTGATGGTGAAGCTTTAACTAACGAAAATCCGAACACCTGCAGTCGTTGGTGTTACGGTAATAGGAGTGAGATGTTAGGATAATGAGAACTGATTAATCAATGCGACTAGTTGGGATACAAGGATTGGCAATAAAACAGTAACGGCATTTTCAAAGAATCAAACATCGCAAGTGCAAAATCGATTATTACGAAGCAAACCTTTATGCGTGTGAAAATGATGAGGTTTTTAATGACAAAGAAACAAGGAAGGGAAAAACGACAAGCACAAAACGGCGTTGGAATTTTACGAGAACATTTCCGTAATGAAACTGCTGTTCAGAGGATAGCAGTAAAGACTTGAAAACTTCGCAGATACAGCATTGTAAACAGCAAAACGTACAGAATTCGATCAATTATATAAAATTTCTGTATAAAGGACTACGAGTAAATGTTACCATAACCCGAAAAAACAATCAAAATTATCGGGTTGAGCTAAACCCTGTGTTGATAAACTACCAAAACTTGTTAAATACCCCGTAATATGACACCGTTAGTCATTCAAGAAGCTTCTGCTTCAAAATTGGCTCTTTTTCCTAGTTTTTTTCATTTTTGCTGTTGTTAAAATTCCGGATCTATGTATATATATATATATATATATATATTTATATATATATATATATATATATATGTCAGTGGTCCGAAATATAATGAACAGGTTCCGCGACATTTAGCAAAACTAACCAATATACTCTTGTCAGACGGCGGATCCCACCAAAGTGTGGCCGTGGTGGCTGTCGTCCGTACCCGCACATTTTCCGGTCGGTCTGGCACTCGCGACTCTGAAGAAGCGACTATATCGACATTGGTGTGGTGTTTTGGTGCAACTGGTGCGAAAAGCAATGGAGAACACACTGAACAGTGCTTTCAATACTAAACGAAATACTTGTTACATTAATTCATGAAGGAGCTCTTCTGCGCTTTATTTTATGGAGTACTTCCTAACATATAAAAATATCGCGTCAAGAGCCATGATCAATCTCTTAAGCATACGCCAAGCATTCCATTTCGTCAGGCATCGTAGAGGAGATTGAATGCACATCTGGTCTACGCGATAACTTAACGAACTACCAATGTGTGAAGTCAGTATATTATGCCACCGCAGCAGTTTCACCACCCCGAAAGAATATGGACTTCGATTACGGGCACTGAGTCAAATCAACGACCATGTGTGCATTGCACTGATCTCCTAACTGCCGCACCACATTTACGCCACTGATAGACTATGGAAGCCATGCGAAAAGCAAGCATTGATAGTCTAGTCAGTAACCACGCATCGAAAGGCCTGTCAATGATACCGTGCCCTAATACCGTACCACTTAAGTCCACCAACTTTTTTGTTACAGAGTCGTCATGTGAGCTGTAACGACGTCAAAAGCATGCTAAACTATATTTTTCTTCAAACAAGTGACACCGTTTGTGTTGTAATAAGGGTGGTAGTAAAGATTCGTAGATAGAAGGTGCTCTTTCAACAATAATTTTACCACGACAGCTATCACAAACGTCTCGTGGGAGACAAAACTAATGACTTTTCTTTCATAGTTAGATCTTTAGCTACTTGAAAAAATGGAGCTCGTTTCGAATCAATGAGCAACCATAACAATAAGAAGAAATATAAATTTGGTAGTTAATACTAGTCAAAAATCTCCCTCCGATCCACACGGGCTGCGACTAACTGTGGTGATGACGACCCAGGGCAGATTGTGGCCAGAGTTACCTAGGGATCCCACGGAACCACAGTGGCTCAACCGGCAAGTCTCCAAAAAAAGAAGAATGGAGATTGTGCTGGTGCCCGTGCAATTAGTGAAGGCGGGCAGCACATGTATCGAAATATCCAAATAATTAATACTTATTTACTTGGATACTTGGACTTAGACGGTCCGTCTACATGAGCTGTGCGGACTCCAGCACGTGTGATTTCGTTCCTTTCTCTCGTAATTGTAGTCCATGGTGGTGGTCTTGTTGCACCATGGTAGCGCTTACGATTCTCATACTGTGATCTGTAAAACAACTGCAGCTGCGGGTACGGCTGATTAACTTTGTTTACAAACACGATCGCCCAATGTGTAGGTGGTCGTCCAAGGAAACGTTTGCATTCTCTTGGAGTCCACTTTACTGTTCTTTTCATCCATCTGTCGTCTGTTCTTCTCATTATGTGACCGGCCCATCTATGTTTCGCCATCGATGTATATTCTCCTGGATCTCGAAGATGTGACAGATTTCGAAGGTCAGAGCTTCACATTCCGGTTACAAATTTAGAGTACCTGTTACATTCTAGAAGAGATCGCTCAAGCGCTCTGTGAGTATTTCGAAGCATTCTTGACGTAGTTGAAGTATCAACCCACGTCTCTGCAGCATAACAGAGCGCAGGGAGAACCGTAGAATCAAAGAGATGAGCTCGGATTTTCGGGTACTTCAGCTGATCGGTGGCTTCTTTGAGAGGCCCGAATGCGGCCAAAGCTGCTCTCCTTCTTCTATCTAGTTCCTTCTTCATATTGTCTTCCATGTTCATTGATCGCCCATGGTAAACGTAACGAGGTGGTCTCTGAAGTGAGAGAGCCATCCAGTTCAATTTCTTCGCCTTCGCATCATGGGTTTTTCATGAACTGGGTCTTCTTACGACTTATTGCGAAGTCCGATCTTTTTCGCCGCTTCGTTGAGCTCGTTGATCATCACCTTTCTTTCGCTAGTACTTCTTGAAAACATGACAATTTTGTCGACAAAACGAAGGGTTGAAAGGAATTTCCCATCAAAACGTATGCCTTTCCCATCCCAATCGAGTGGCTTCATTATCCACTGCAGTGCGGCACTGAACAGCTTTGGCGATATTGTATCGCCCTGTTGAACCTTTTTTGCTATGGATATTGTAAGAGGTCGATGGAAAAGCGGTGTTTTCGTAGTGCAGTTCCGATAACAGCCGGACAGAGTCGTTATGTAGGACGGCTCCACTCCTCGGGCCGACGAGCGCTAATAGGATTGCATTCGTTTCGACACTGTCAAACGCTTTCTCATAGTCGACAAAGGTTAGGACTAGAAGCAATTCAGGAATCCTGACAAACTTCGATAACCCTGGACACGGTTTGGATGTGGTCAATGTAGTAAAATCCTCTTCGAAATCCTGCTTGTTCGACTGGTTGCGCCTCATCCAATGTCCTTGGTATGCACGAGAGGGTAATCTTCGTGAAGAGCTTGTAGAGTACACTTAACAAGCATATGGGACGATAGTTATGAAGATCCCTCCAGTCTCCTTTTTTGGGCAGCATGACCGTGCGCGACATCTTCCACTGGTCTGGGATTTTTCCTTTTGAACGTAGTCTCTCATATGATCTGCGAGAACTACATATAAATCGTGGCCTCCATCTCTAAAGAAATCGGCAGTGATATTATCGGGTCCTGAAGCTGTGCCTCTTTTCACGCTTTCTATCGCAACTAGAGCCTCCGATGGAAGAATTCCAGGTGGTTTTTCTCCAGCGGGGATATGAGGGCCCGGGACGGTGATTGTGGAACGGAAAAGGTTGGTGTAGAACGTTTCCGTTATTAATTCCATATCACGGCGAAAAGTTTTGACGATCCCATCTTCGTTCATCAGGGCTAACAGCGGAAATTATAATCACATATGTCACGACGGCATTTTTTCTCTGCTGCTTCCAGTATTTTCTTCTGCTTGTACTGTTGTAGATCTTCCTAAAAAGCTCTTCTGCAGCTAGCATTTATTACTAGCTATGTTAAACGTGTTGCAGTAGGATCAAACTCCAGTTTCCTTCTCTTTTCGAGCAACTCTTTAGTATTGATGGAGATGCGATCCGATCATCTTGCTTGGGGAACTGAGGCGAATTCGGCACAGCTTTTCAGTCCTTCGAGAAGCAGGTCGTAGTCTTCGGTCGGGTCTTCTTTAATCTGCCAGTCATGTTTGGACAGAACTTCGTTCAGAATGTTCTCGTCGTATACAGCTAAACTTTTTCCTCGTGGTCGATGAAGAGCGTCCTTTTCCAGCTTACGGCTGAATCGAATGCGCGCGAAGATGGCGGTGATCGGAACCAGAACAGAATGACGGGACTACCGATGCGTCAAGTAAGCACCATCTCCTGTTTACCAGAAAATGGTCGATCTCCGGATGAGTCATGCCGTTGGGAGAATCCCATGTCCAGCGGCGGCTTTCTTTCTTCCGAAAAAACGAGTTTCCATGGAAGGGACGTGCTCTTGACAGGAGTTCTGCGAGACGGTTCCCCTTCTCATTTCTTTCTTCTAATCCAAGATTTCCGATCCTGTATTCGCTCTCGTTGGCCTTTCCTATTCTGGCGTTGAAGTCTCCTACAACAAATTTATGATATGCTTTATCATTCCGGATGACTTCCTCCAACTGATAGTCGAACGCATTTAATTCGTACTTATCAGCTACGTCGGTCGGTGAGTAGCAGTTGATGATAGTGATCTTCTTATGATGCGACAGTTGAAGACGGAGGACGGCTATGCGAGGGGAAAGGATCTCGTATGAGTCGACGAGATGGACAATGGACGGGTGGCCTTTCCTCCACGAATTACAAGGATCCCGTTGTTTAGTTGGCGCGTGTCAGTCTTCTCGGTTTTTGTTTCTTGTAATGCGATCACATGAAATTTAATGCGATCTGCAGCTACAAAAAGAGGGTGAAGATCGGCGTCTGTGGAGTGTTCTGGGAATATAGGTGCATAGTAAAAAACAATCTCCATGGCGTGTGGTGCGTGTGTTCGTCAGATCCGGTTCCAACGACGTCCTGCGTAACCCGAAATTTTCTGGCCTCTTACCGGTCGTCTCACCGCCTGACGTCATAGACAGGAGCACCCAATGTGCAGGGTACTGGTGCTGGCCTATTGCTGGTCGTGCAACTTCGTCCTCCCTAAAGTCCTGACGTAACCTTGCAAGGGCGTATCAAGGTCTTGACCATGATGTGGATCAGAGAAAGGTGTGTTTACGGCGACGAATCCTTCGCTCGGTCTTCCTACTAGTTGATTCAGAGGGATGTTAAAACCGAAATTAGAAACGAAAGTGGGAATGTAAAAGTGACCGAGCCCTCAAGGACGATGTAGAAACCGAATCCCAAAATCGCAATTAATACTTAAACAATACAAGTTAGCCTCCGCATCATGACTTCTATCATCTTACAAGCTCTCTTTTTTGAACTGACACCATCTTTTTAACACGTATTTCACGATGAAAAAAGAAACGTGCTAGCACGTTCTATCGATTTCTGAAAACGAATTAAGTGAAAATGAAGCTGAACATAGAAGCGACTTTCCTCAATAAATGCGCTCTGATTTTCATTTTTGATCCCAACAAGTGCTTTGGATCCAAAAAACGCGGATCCTCGGGTGTTCGTGGATCGCGTTTAACTTCATTGGTCTGATGAATTTCTTTTAAAAGGAAACTACACAGTTTTTTTTAAAGATTTTCGTCGATGTCATCATATGCCACATTTAATCAGATAACAATTTTTACACATTCCCACTAAAAAATTGATGCATGTGAGGTTCTAAGAAGAATTAAAAGACTAACAGTGCTTTTAGTTGTTCCTTCCATTCGGTTTTCTTCTTCTCGTTGAGCCTGATTTGTCACATTCATTTTAAAAAAAGTGACAGACATGGCACACCGTTTTGTTTCCCCATATTCACACTGAGATGAGTGGTGGGCGATTTGTGTAGGAGTTGTCTAAAAAACCCTGAGAAATCAGGGATTTTTTTGCGGAAGCTCAGCAAACGACCAAGGTGAGCATTTAGATTGCATTGTGTTGTTGATACCGTAGCAATGATCGTATGTGGAGATATCTGATAATGTTTGCACATATGAGCGAAAAATTCCCGGATCTCGAGTCTGTGGCGATAATTGTCATGTCGACCAGGTGAGGTTTCGTTCGCACTTGAGAAATTCCTCGATATATATAACCTCTCAGTGTTCATCTATAACAATATGACAGCATAATTCGAACATTCATCATAGCTGTAGAGGTCTGAGTATCGTTCAGCCTGCAGCTCCACGTCCTCACTACCTGCTCCCCAGCGAAATCAGCAAACGTTGTCTGAGACTCGAGCCGCCGAACGAATTTGCATTACAACTACCGAATTAGCATATGTTTCGTCACTAGCTCAGGCAGAAATAAGCACTTATAAGTCTTCGGAGCACTCAACCAATAGTCAACAAGGCTTCTTGTCTGTTGGCTTGCAGAATACCACCAGAACATTTCATTTTTATTTAATCGTTAAACCTAAGGATTCCCCACGTTACTGCTAGTACGTAAAACTTGTTTTTCGTCTTTTTACACAAACCTCTGGCTAAGTAGGACGTGTGCAGCCCAATGGTTACAGACGGCCTACAATGCACACGCAGGCAGTTTTTGGTTCGATCCATTGCCGGTTGAAACTAAGTCGTCTTCCCAGCGAGTGTTGAAGAATTGCTACCAGACATGTATGGGAGAATAAAAAAACCACTGTAAAAATCAAGCATGCAATCAACCTCTACAATGCTTAATGGAGTCAAAGGTTTGCCCCATTCTTAACGGATTGGTAAACGCTGAACACATTATCGTTTAGCCACTGGTATATGCAAGCATATTATATGTATCTTTGTATATATCACTTATATACGCTTGAACACACGCGCACACACAGACCTGTGTATCTGGCTATCTATACCCGATTTATAAGACTCTAAGAAAAAATTTTTCAAGATTTTTCTTTCAATAAAACAAACTGTGAACAAAAAATTGTGTATTGAAGTGGCCCCAGTACTGAATGTGCAGTACAAGTTAACAAATTGGTGTGTTTCGCTCCCTCGTTCGGCACGGGAAATCCGGAAATTCTGCGCGCGGCCGTCTTCTTGTCCAGAGAAACAATCGCTAATGGCACCAATTTATGGTAGGTAGTAAGCGGGAGGTGTGAACGTGGTGGATGTCTAAAGCAATCAAGTAGAAAGGCGAAGTGGTAATGAGAACGAAATGAAGAGGTGGCGGAAGTTAGTAAAGCCAGGCCAACTGGCATAGAACTGAAGCAATATCTGTTTTAGATCAACAGCAAACCTATACAAATGTTCTTTTGTCGTAGTTTTATTTCTTTCAGTTGCTCAGTTATACAAGCATGGAAAAGAGAACAGAGCCAAAAGAGCAGAATGAATGGTGAAACAGAGTTTGGGAACAAAAACATGAATGACCATGGAGAACACAACAAGATATAATAAATTCATTTGTGAAAGTGTCTACTAATGCCTGGAACAATTGCGGGATCCTTTTTTTCTTTAAATAGAGCGCTGAGTAAGGAAAAAGTCAGGTCGACAGCTCCGATCAAAGGAACGCTAACGCGGAAACTTTCCGCCTCTCCGCCCTTCTGAAAGGGAAGTAATCGATGCGGAATACGAATCGCTGATTGTGAACGTCGAATTGGAAGTGAATCAATCTTAAGTGGACAACAGGCATTGTTGTATTCCTTGAAAATTCAGGAAGCGATAGTCTTATAGAAAACCACCAATGACCATTGCACTGACAACACACTTCTATCAACCTCAAGGACTTAAGAGACGATGAAAATGGTTTTCAAAAAACTTAAAGAAACAAAAGAAGAAGCGAAAAAAAGTTACTTGATGAGGTGAATGTTGAGCCCAAAGCCCTTGTTTATATACTACTGTGATCGGCCAACAAGAAATATCAAATTTGTCATGGATACTTTTATTTTTTTTGGAGCAGAAATCCTAAAACAAAACTCTAAAGATTGAATTCGGGAAATGGATTTAGCATGGAAAGCAAGAAGGATGTGAACAATGGAAAACTAGAGCCATCGGCAGTTCAATGAAACTATGGAGACAGAAGGAAAATGAATAGGAACAAAAGAAAGAGAAGAAAAAGAATGCTCTTTTTCCCTAAATAAACCCCAAAAAAACTAGGTACTGAATTCTTTCCTTCGAAAAGGACCATCCTTACGTTTTCTGCTAAGAGTTAGTATTTTGAATTTGAATCGATATCATGTATGATTTTCTAAAGCTTCAATCAATACAGTTCAATGGGACCTGATTAGCTACATTTCTTATCCGTCCAAAAAGATCTCGTAATCTCTCACTGTCTCACTGTGCCAATAATGACACGTCGTTGTAAGGAAAATGTACCTATTCTTTGGATACAGGTCTTAAAATTCCACAAATAATCATGTTAGCTACCAAGTAAGGATGAGCAAAGGCTACAACATTTCCTTCAGTCACTTAGTGAAATATAGACCTATAACAGAAGCTGTGCCATCCTGGAAGAAAAAAAGTCACAAGGTGGCACACCTTGTTCCAAACCTAGTGAGCCAGCTGGCAGGTACTAGTGCTGGCGACCTGGAAATCGCACTATCTCAGGTATCCAGCGAAATCTAAGTAATGAACCAGTACATCAGCAAGAGGGAATTATGCAAGAAAAAGTAAACAGGGGTCGTAAAGAAGAACTACTCTCATATCAAACGGATGAATATAGAAGGATTACCTTTTAAAAATATTTCAATTAATAATGGTTTCAAGCTTGCCGCAAGATCGCCGGAGGAGAAGGTGTGTGGTGATTTTAAGTTTTATTCCACAAGGTTCTTTTTTGTTTATTCCGCTGTTTCGAAAAATCTCTCTCCTTTATTTTTGGTTCTGCTTGACCATGTGCACTGGCAAATGCTTCGAACCGTGCACGGAAGGTAAATTGAGGAAATAATAAAATTCGATCGATAAATCAATACGGCGTGATCGAGCTAAAATTCTGTGACCTCACCGAATTCACCGACATAGCAGATTCTTTTAGAGTCGCTTACCACTAGGTGTATTACTAGCTTCAGCACCATTACGCACGACGTTGAGGTGCATCAGAGCGAGAATGGCGAGTTTCATGGTTGAGACCGGCGAGGAATACGTCAAGGCATCTTCACAATCTCTCAGTCGTAGAGAAGACCTACCACTCAGGAACGTTGGGCTGCTGAAATGTAGTCTCATGGTATTGAAATTAGATTTTAGATTTTCGTATTAGAAGATTTGGAATACCATGAGTTTTCATGGTATTCCAAATCTTCTAATACGAGCGTTGAAAACGAAATAATCGGGTGTTTGGAAGAACTACTTGCATTGAAATAAAATCAAGATGATGAAGTCCATGAGAGAGAACGAATTCCGAAAATCAAACCACGGCTTTCGTGGATGAAATGTGGATAAGGACGTATATGCCTGACTCCGCCCACTTTTCGGCGAACGTTGGAGTGAGTTGGTAAGAATTGTGAAAACTTTGTTCCACGACAGAATTGTCCAGCATAACGACTAAAGTCAGTTTCCCTTGCCACAGTCATGGCAATGCGCATGAGCTTTAACAGCAGCAGAACAATTTTTTACTTTTTCGTTCCAGTTTTTCACATGGCGCGTTATCACACCAAATGCGATAATCCCAACCCCTCTCGGAGATATCCGAGCTAAGGCGCTCCAAGTTGAGTAGAGGAGAGCGCTGGGCTTTAAATAATTTTAATAATTTGCACATATTCAATGTTTGTCGAAATGCAATGTCTAGATGGAGATTCGTCCCTTTTGAAAGACCACTTTAACTAAGAATGAGTTCGACATTTCTATCCAAAAAGGAGTCCTAGCTAAGAGTGAATAAATTTCGAGAAATCCGCAGTACTAACATCCAACTGGTTGAGTGGTGGCAAACATCCCTCCAATTTACAAAAATAATGAATAGTTGTGATAGCGGCAGCAAAAACCCTAGCATGGCTATCGCGAGGGAAAGATATTCTTCTCCGACTACACCTATGCTACGTCGGGGTTCGATGAATTAACTTCCTATGGCTATCTTTCCATCCGAAACGTGGGAGCTAACGCATAGGCAACTAGCTGAGAGAAACGCGGAACGAAGGATCCACATGGTGTGGCACTGAACGTTTTAGCGAGCGAAAGGGTAATGGCGTGTTCGGTCCCCACCGCAGACACCTGCGGTCCGGAGTTTTGCAGATATTTTTGCCTCATTGTGGTTGCCTTTAATTATTTGTTTATTCATTCATAGGCTCATGAACCGGGGTGCAGAAGTTCCTATAACAAAGGAACGAATAAGGTTAAAGCAAGGAACTAGACATAATTCTAAAAAAGACATAGAAACAAAAAAAACCAAGTGATCGTTTGTGAACACCTTTAGGTTCTTGATGACGAACTGAACAAATACAGTTTCGGCTGAGCGCCTTAACAGCAATAATCACCAAACACCATGGTTTCTAATCAACCTTTGTTTCACGATGGAACCCGCCGGTATCCCACTCATGTCTTCCGAAGCATGGAGCAGGTTGTCTACATTAAAGAATAAAGGATAAAGAACAAAGTGTACGGCGCTGATCAATCGCTGAGAGATGAGTTATACATTCGAATCAAACGTCGTAGAGGCCGACGAATTCACGTCTGGGCCTGAAAAATGACTTGTGGTGGCGCACCGATGTACCAAGTGAGTGTTTTTATCCTCGCACACAAGTTCGGCACCAATCTACTGATCCGATGGATGAGAGGCAGATGTGGCCCGGGAAGAGATAGAACTAAGATCCAGTGTGTATTGCAGAGCACCTCTAAACGCTGCGCTGCATGCGCTTTGTCGT